ATTATCATAAGAGGCTTGTAATTTCTATAAGTATAACATCATACAACACCTTTAATTACACCATCATAATTCTTGAATGTCCCCTTTTTCAAGTATTCTAAAAGAATCAATAATCAACTTCGAGCTCGACATTAGTGTAGAAATGTTTATCCTTTAAAACACACACAATAACAATAGTAGTACTAGTAACAGCTTTTCTCATAGAGAATAAAAAATCATGTAAAAGTAGAAAGTGGTGAAAGAAAACAATAAAAACCAAGTATTGAGATCATTTTCAACCTTGCACCAAAATTTGAGATTAATTTTGTATCATTTTACACCAAATCTTACATCAAATTAAAATTCATCTTCAATCATTATACTAAATGAACATTGTTTAATCATTTTCTTCACTTTTTTTTATTCTTAACGATTTGTTTATTTTAAATTTTATTTTTTAATTTATTTACAAATACACAAATTACTAAATAAAAATTACACTAAATTAACGAAAATATTAAATCATTAATAAATATAAAAAATATAGTACAATTAATATAAACACTACAATTTTTTTAAATAATCGTATTTTTTATATTTTTAATTTTGTTCTATTCTTATTTTAATTAATTCATCAATTCTTATTTTTTACATTATGAAAATTTAGTTAAAATGTACATAATAATAATAAATGGTGTAAAGTGATGCAACACTATTTTGATGTCAAAATGTTACAATATTTGGTACTACACTGGAGACATTTTGCACCCAAATTTGATGCATTTTTGTGCTCCGTGTCTCCATTGGAGATACCCTAACATCCCATCAATAAGTACACATTTTGTAGTGTCAAAGATGAACCATGCTAGCTGTACAGACCACACATGCAAAGGGCGTGGGTGATTTTTATTATTATTATTATTATTATTTTTAAATAATCACCCACCTCAGATGTGTCTGGCCTATACAGGCCTTGTGAAAACAGGGTCTGTACAACAATCATTTTTTATCAAAGATATATGAAGCTAAATTGAAATGGCTAATTCACTAAAACCGTAAGATTTCAATAGCAAAAGTTCATAATTTGGAGAATCAAATTCAAGGATCCGAATCTGCAAATTAATGAAATGTGCAGAATTTACTTGCTAGAGTTTCAAGGAAGAGTCTCTATAGTTTAGATGAATACTATTTTATAGGGAAAATTGTAACAGCGATTCCTAACCTTTTCATTTTTTACAGACTTTATTCTAACTTTTATTTTGTGCTAGCGGAGATTCATAATCTTTCATAAATATGCGCCTGAGGTCTATCTGGAAGGAAACCGTCCAACATACCATCAGTTGATCGAAAAAACTAAGGAATCAACATCCAATAAAATCGTCGCGGTGACAGATAGTTCAAAGAATTTTTCGGTCAATTGATGGTGTTTTGGACAGTTACCGTCTAGATAGATCTTAGGTGCATATTTATGAAAGTTAGAGGCATCCGCTGGCACAAAATGAAGGTTAGAGTAAAGTCTGTAAAAAAGAAAAGATTAGGGACTGTTGCTTCAATTTTCCCCTATTTTATATGGCAACATCGAGTCCACAGATGTGACTCTCGATATGGAATGAGGAAAAAAATTGTGGATAAAATGATAAGAAAAAGCTTAGAGAGAGTGAGGATTCGTAAGGTTCTTTGTGAGTAGATTGTGGTCACGAGTTGTTCCCTTAGATTGGGTCTAGCACAACTAAATTGTTCGAATTTTATAAAGAGAATCAAAAGTCAAAATACTCACAATCATGCTAAATGTACAAATGTGCCTCTAGACAAGTTTAGGGGACGAGTAAAATGACATAACTCAGTCTTTTGGAATGGTATGAAATAGTCTTTAGACCCTTCATACATGTAGTTTTATATTGAGCAAATGAAACGAGATTCTCAATATAATTATGGAAACACATTTTAAGTAAAATTGATTACATAAACTCATAAATAAGAAGTTACATCCAATTATATGATTCAATTAATATAATTAGATTTCGACCAGTGAAATTGAAATTGAACTAGTTAGGCAAAACACAAATTTTAAAAAATCGGCCAAAAAATTATCTTTTTTTTTTTTTTTTTTCAAATTTTTTTTTTTTTTTTTTTTTAAAAATCATTGGGTGGATATCAATATAACCCTTGACCTTTTTTTTTCCTGAATTTATGTCAAGATCGATTTTAAAACACGTGATTTTAATTTAAGAATATCTGTTCTCATTCATACTATATTAAATTCAAGCCATATGCTACAATATTTTACCTTCGAGTTTTTCATTATCTTTCAAATAACATGGTAACAGTGTTTAGATTGCGTGCTGACATTAGATGTAAGAACTGGCAAAGCACAATTTCAACCCTATTCCATCCCCTCTACACACAAAAATGAAGTCACTAATGACTATCTTAAAATATTATAAAATCACGATAGATGGAAGAAGTGAATGGACAGTGTCAATGACTTAGTTGTTGCTGTTAGTTATGTTTAGTTATCCAAAAAGAGAAAAGTTGATCCTACATCCCTCTTCGTGAAACAAAGAAGGCTGAAAATAGATCATATATCAACCACATGATACACTAAATACTATCTCAATCATTTACTTGACATCTCTCCACAAAATGAACTAGGCAAAGAAATGCCCCCCGGGCATATCTCTAAGTGGTAAAAGGGGAGGGTGGAGAAATTCAACTTTGCTTGAGACTGCTGCGTCAAGGGTTCGAATCCTGAAATATGGATTTGGTTCTTAGGTAAGTGTAAGTGTACAAGCAGCCTTCCACCCTATACTCTTGGAGGCATAACCTGCGATTTATCTCCCTCACAATACTCCATGGCAGGGACGGTGGAGAACCCTTAAAGTTGGAGTTCAACCTTTTAACTAGGCAAAGAAATTGATCATGTATTCACTGCACGATTCACTAAACACTATCTCAATCATTTACTCGACCTCCATCACCTTGACTCCCCGTTCCACCCACCCATTCTTGCCCCACCCCACATCAAGAGACCTGCGGGGAGCCCAAGATAGGCAATTGCAGAAGATTTTGTTTGTGTGATTTGACCAAAGCATAAATTTTATAGGAAAGATAATGTGTAGGTCTCACCTGTCATTTCAAGCATTTAAACAGGATTTCAGCTACTAAATGCGCCGGATCAAAAATCCTTCTTTCTTTGTCTGTTTTTCATTCTCAATAAAATGGATAATTTACAGTAATCTACAGTACTCCAAATCCAAAGGGCGAAAAAAAAAAAAGAACAAAAAATCCAATGGAGAGCATTCAGTACAGGCCAATAGCAGCAGGAAAAAATAAAAAAAGCAGCTCGAAAATAAAATAAAATCTCTGCCATTTTCGATCTGCGAACAGACCATCCAAAAATGAGTAATTCGCTCTTGAAGAAGCTCAAAAATAGAATTGCAGAAAATAAACTGACGTGTAAATTAATGATTGAATTTTTTATTTTTTTTTTTGTTTTTCAAACTTTCCAATTGCGTGTCTCCCCTGATTTTAAATTTGTCTTGAAGCCCTGTTTATACAGCATGTTTGCCCAAAAACCTCTCTCTCTCTCTCGTACTGTTTCTCTCTCATCCTTCTTTCGGCCAACCTCATCCCACAATAGATACATGCATACACACACAACTATCTTCATTTGCAGTCTAAGAAAAAAAAAGGATAAATATATATGTAAAAATAAATGTACAAAATGGATTACTTACTGTACAAATGGTAAATTTAAAAAATGTCGGTTAGTTGTGACCACCACCTATTTTGAGCAGTCAGTATAGGATTTTGTAAAAAAATGTTTGTAAGAGCGGCATGATCCAAAAAAATCCCTCTTGTTGCCTCTGATATTTTTTGTCATTTTAAACTGGACATTTCTGGAGTTTTATTCTCTCTTTTACATTGCTCTCATGGATCTTCGAAGAGCTATTTTTTGTCTTGAAGGAGTTGGCTCTTTTCTTCTTCTTCTTTAGATACAGAAAGAAAAAGAGAGTCTTCAGTTTGGTATTCTGTTCGTTTCTTGGAGATCCCATTTGTAACTTAGTGTTTATCTGATCTATAGTTAACAAATCCTGTCTTAATCTAATTACCCTTCGGTGAAATTCATTTCTAAAGTTCAAGTTTCAGCTGGAGCAAAGTTTTGCTGTTTTTTGAAGTATACTAGGAAGGAAAAAATTTTAAGTTATAGGAAATGAAAAGGCTGAATGGTTCCGCAGTAATCAATGCAGAAAAAGCATAAATTTGTGTCTTTGTGGGAAAATCAGGGGTTTGCGTGGCAAACAGAAATAAATTTCACCTTAATCAAGTAAAAATTAATAATTAGTAATAAGAAATCGGGGGTTACAGTTTTTCTTTCCCGTGGATTGTTAATTTACAGCTTCATTGAAGGAAAAAAAGAGAGAACAAGATATGTTTTTGTCAGTATGCGTATGATTTCGTATACAAAGCTGTTTAGCTTTCGTTGAGCTATTTTGGCTGTTAGATTTTTTTTTCCCCAAGTGGTATAAGTGTAGTTCTCAGACACCTAAAGGCCCAGGAATCTTCTGGCTCGATCAAGGTCGTCCATTTAGTTTTCTGAGATCACTAGGTAGCACGAACAAAGATTAGTAAATTAAGAAAATTTGAGGTTCAGTTCAGATAATCTGTCATTCTCTGTGGGACAATAAAAGCTGCTCAGAGTATTCAAGATTTGCATACTTTTGGTGTGGGTTCTGTTTTGGGAGTTTAAGAATTTGAGGTTTGGGGAAAATGGCTATGGTAGCACAGCTACACAGGGAGAGTAGCAGTGGCAGCATAAACAAGCATCTTGATTCAGGAAAATATGTCCGGTACACGGCAGAGCAGGTGGAGGCCTTGGAAAGGGTATATTCTGAGTGCCCAAAACCGAGTTCTTTGCGCCGCCAGCAACTGATCCGGGGATGCCCAATTCTTTCCAACATTGAACCCAAACAGATCAAAGTGTGGTTCCAAAACCGCAGGTAAATGAAAAGTTTGTGCGCGTCATTGTTTGATTGGGTTTGTTTACATGCCTATAATTTGTTGATCTCATTAATGGAATAAATTACATTTAGCTTGTAACCATCATCATTTGCTAGTCTTGATTAATGTAAATAATAAATTCTTGATTTTCAGATGTCAGTTTGTTAGATTCCTGGTGGATTTGATTATGTTTATGATAGAACTCTGTGTTTATTTTAGTTCTGATGGAGGCTAGGAAAATTATTGTTTGTGAATTTAGGTGTCGAGAGAAGCAGAGGAAGGAATCTGTCAGACTTCATAGTGTGAATAAAAAATTTAGTGCTATGAACAAGCTTTTGATGGAGGAAAATGATCGCCTTCAGAAGCAGGTATCGCAGCTGGTATGCGAGAATGGATACATGCGCCACCAATTGCAAAGTGTATGTCATTTTCTTGTACTAATTAGTTAACTTGGCTATATTTGTTTCTATGTTTTGGATTTGCGCTGTCAATCATTTATCATCAACTCAACATAAATTCGGAGCGGAAAAGAACACGCATACGCTATCGGTTGCTGAGTGTATGTCGTTTTGTTGTACTAATAGTTAAATTGGCTATTTGTTTCTATGTTTTGGAGCTGCTCTGTCGATCATTTGTTATCGACCTCATCTTAAATTCTGGTGTAGAAAAGAACCCACATGCGCTGCCAATTAAGTTTATGTCATTTTGTTGCACTAAATAGTTAATTTTGCTATGTGTCTCTATATTTTGGATCTGTCTTGTCATTCATTCATCATCGATTTTAATATCAATATTATTGGTGTTAAAATGAACACAAGCTTCAATTCAACGTAATCAGTTTGTTCTTCTTAAAATGGACCATTTTTCCAATTATATGAAATGTTAGGTTAGGGCTCTTTAGGCTGAGCCTTTTACTTCGAAACAAAAGATTGTCTGAGTACTAATGTGAGATAATTATTTCATATCCGAGAACTAGGATTATGACATTTATTGGTTCTAAATTCCACGAGGGTTGGTTTTATTGTTAATATTGACATTTCATTGTTATTTGCATTTGAGCTATCAAAAGGCAGCTCTATAGTCGGAATCTTTCTAATTGGCTTAGATTTTTTCTCCTGAAATTCTACAGTTTTACCTCAATATGCTTTTATCTCTTCTCCATGATCTTCAAACCCTTATCTAAAAGTGGAAATCTCAACAGGCATCAGCGACGACAACTGATGCAAGTTGTGAGTCCGCAGCGACCACCCCTCGGCATGTTCTCAAAGACACTAACAATCCTGCTGGGTACTTATTCAAATCTTATGTCGCCTCATTGTGTTTTTTCTATATAACTGCATAATTTAAAATGTCAAAATTTCATGTGGACATTGACATTTCATTAATATATGTCCATGCTTTTGGCAGTCTCCTCTTAATTGCGGAGGAGACTTTGGCAGATTTCCTATCAAAGGCGACAGGTACTGCTGTTGATTGGGTCCAGATGCCTGGGATGAAGGTTTGTTGTGTCTTGTCTAAAATCTTCTGTTAATTCGATCCTTTTTCTGTTTGCCATAATTATACAGTCTTTCTAATTGCAAGATTAATATCAATGGGTCGTGTGAATTTTTATTTTTGTTGTCAGCCTGGTCCGGATTCAGTTGGGATCTTTGCCATTTCAAAAAGTTGTGGTGGAGTGGCAGCTCGAGCCTGCGGTCTTGTTAGTTTAGAACCTACTAAGGCAAGATCTCACAACTCTATTTCTTTCTCCTTTAGGTCTTTATGCCAAATTTTATTTATCAGTTCATAATACAATGATTGGCTGTCTCGAAATTCAACTCATACATATTTTTCTTTAAATCTTGCAGATTGCAGAGATCCTTAAAGATCGTTCTTCTTGGTTCCGGGACTGTAGGAGCGTTGAAGTTTTCACTATGTTTCCTGCTGGAAATGGAGGAACAATTGAACTTGTGTATACGCAGGTGAGTTTTTCAACTATAACATTCCTATTATGTTCTACGTTCAGGTTACCATGTGGGAGAAATAAATCATTAAATATTCTTCACAGACATATGCACCAACTACACTGGCTCCTGCTCGTGACTTTTGGACTCTGAGATACACAACAACATTAGAAAATGGAAGTCTTGTGGTATGCATCTCTTTTCCGCTAAGATAAACTACCTTACAGATGTCTTAACTAAGATAAACTATGATTGCATCTGTTCCGCTATTATACTTGCCTGAAATATCTTGATTCTATTAGAATGGGCTGTTACAACTTTGTGAACCTTGACCTTTTTATATTGAGGTAGTGGCATAAATCTTTCTTTTTGCTTTCATCTTTTAAAGATCTGTGAAAGATCTCTTTCTGGTACTGGGGCTGGCCCAAGCACAGTAGCAGCGCCACAGTTTTTAAGAGCTGAGATGCTTCCGTCTGGATATTTAATCCGGCCATGTGAGGGTGGAGGATCAATTATTCATATTGTTGATCACCTGAATCTCAAGGTTAGATGTGCTTTAAATGTTATACACAAGTTTTTTTGATGGGCAGAACTTGATTGGTAACACCACTCCTATTTCCAGGCCTCGAGTGTGCCAGAGGTGCTTCGGCCACTTTATGAATCACCAAACATTTTAGCGCAGAAAATGACTATTGCAGTGAGTTTGACTCTTTGATGTTCTATGTGGTTGAGGCTTTCTAAAGATCATGTGAAGATTTATTGATTGAGTAGAGAGCCAAGCAAGAACATAATTTTATACTAATTTTGCATTTAGTAATGTTGCCTTTCCTTATATTTTACTGCCCGAATGCACTATGAGAATCTACCCCTTAACCTTTTTAGTTTTTGTTTCAATGCCTGCCAAAATGGATAGTGACATTTTTTTTTTTTTTTTTTTTTTTCGGGATTTTGTTACAAAAGGCACTGCGATACATCAGGCAGATAGCTCAGGAGACAAGTGGTGAGGTAGCATATGGTCTTGGCCGGCAACCAGCTGTTCTACGCACATTCAGCCAGAGATTAAGCAGGTAACTTCCTCTATGTTCTGAGCATATTTTGTTTTGTATCTAGAGACATGTTATGTACATTAATGTACACTATATTGTATGTCACATAGTATTTCTCCTGTGCAGAGGCTTTAATGATGCTATTAACAGCTTCAATGATGATGGCTGGTCATTATTGAACTCTGACGGGGCTGAAGATGTAGTAGTAGCCATCAACTCCTCCAAAAACCTGAGCGCTGGATCAAATAACCTTTCCTTTATTGGAGGTGTTCTTTGTGCCAAAGCATCTATGCTACTTCAGGTGATTTTATGTATATATATATATTTCACAATTTGATGTCACTTTCGTGCTGCTTAGCGCTTTGTTCGCTGAAATTACAGACGTGTAATGTTAGACTGACTGCTTTGAGAAACTGAGAAAATAAATTGAAAACTTGTGTTACAGTTGCTTTCAACTTTGACTGTTTGTCATGACTATTTCAATGACGTGATTTAGATATCGTCCATCTGGAATGGAATGATAAACTGAATTTCGATATCCTGTTTAATGATTAAGTTTTTGCCCTTCCCTGACAGAATGTCCCTCCAGCAGTACTGGTTCGGGTTCTCAGGGAGCATCGTTCAGAGTGGGCTGATTTTACTGTTGATGCCTTTTCTGCTACATCTCTAAAAGCGAGGTTGTATGCATATCCAGGAATGAGGCCTACAGGGTTTACTGGAAGCCAAATCATCATGCCACTGGGTAATACAATTGAACATGAAGAGGTATTTACTTGTTTAGTATAAACTGCTGCCTTCAACTCAATGCAATTACCACACTCTTTAGTGGTGGCAAAGTAACCGATGTATGTCTAAATATAGTTTTGTGCGGCGCAGCAAGCATTTTAATTCCCTTCCAAAATATTACACAATAAACAAAGGGACTGAGATGAGACTAACTTTTTTGATTGATGTGGAAGGGAATTTAATTTATTTGCTATTTAGTTCTGGGGTATTTATTCAACTGGAGTTGCTTTCTCTGGCATTCACTTACCTCTCATTTTCTATTTGTTTGATTATGAAAACAGAAATTCCCTTTTGATCTTCATGTTATCTTTTACTTGAGTCGAGTTCTCATAAATTCTGCTGTCACCAAAAATCTTGTGATAACAAATATTTATGATGAATTTAAATATATGTGGTCCTCTTTAACAACTAAGCTTTCACATCAAGTGATTCAACATGATATCGAAGCACTCAAAAAGTCTTGGTTCAAATCTCATAGCCACCCCTTTAATAAAATTTAGCACGTGCTACGTTTTAAAGGGACTATACATGAGGAGGTGAGTTGAAGAGAATATGTAAATAATCTACATGTGATCCTTTCTAATAACTTAAGCTTTGAACCAAGTGACAACAACGAACATCACATGAAACGTGATGTCGTATCTCACTTTTTAATATTGTATCCCAGATGCTTGAAGTGATTCGGCTGGAAGGACACTCTCTTGGTGAGGAGGATGCTTTTATCTCAAGGGACATTCACCTTTTACAGGTGCTTGGTTCTGTATTAAGATGTCTAGTAATTAGACTTTCGAGCAGTTGCTGCAAAACAGAAGTTTACATGAGTTAATTTTAACTGCAGATGTGCAGCGGGGTTGATGAGAATGCAGTGGGAGCCTGCTCTGAGCTTGTTTTTGCTCCAATTGATGAGATTTTTCCTGATGATGTACCACTAGTGCCCTCTGGCTTTCGCATAATTCCGCTCGATTCAAAACCAGTTGAGTAAAATGTTCTACCACATTAACTTCCATTTTTGTTCTCTCAAATATTTACCTTGTAGCTTTTAGCAATCTGTGAAGAACTTGGTTATCAGTGACAATTTAATGCCTTATTTCTTGTCAAGACTATACTTTTCCTCCTTATGAGTACACTCATATACCAACCCAAACATGATGCTCTGGATAATAGTATGCAGCTTTGCTAACCTTAGAAAGTTTACTTGTAAGTAAAAGACCGAGTTTTAAAATAAATTGTTTTATTGGTCAAAGTTGAGAAATAAATTACTTATTTTGACAAGTAGGTATGACCTATTTTTAAAATATCTTTTCTTTTCTTTTAAGCCTACCTGGACATGATATATTATGCATGTAGTTTGCTATGTTTTAGTTTTTGTTCACTATACTGGATAAATAATTAATTATGTTCAGGGGGACTCGCAGGATACATTGACTGCGCAAAGAACACTAGATTTGACATCTAACCTCGAAGTTGACCCAGAAACAAACCATGGTGCTGGAAATGCTACATCATCTTATAGTGCACGATCAGTATTGACTATTGCCTTCCAATTCCCGTTTGAGAGCAATTTACAGGACAATGTTGCAACAATGGCACGTCAGTATGTTCGTAGCGTGATTTCCTCTGTGCAGAGGGTTTCCATGGCCATATCTCCATTGGGATTGAGCCCTACATTCGGGCCAAAGCTATCCCCGGGCTCTCCAGAAGCTATTACACTAGCTCATTGGATCTGCCAGAGCTATAGGTAAGTTCTGCTAATTTTTTCGTTCTTTCTGAAGTTGCAAGCTTCTATCATTTTCTCGCCATGACAAATCTTGTCAGATCTCCACCATCAATGTCAAGCATGTTAGTTGGGTTGGATCAATGTACTCACTCTCTGACAACTTGAGCTTTTAGATGAGGTAGTTTAACTTGGTATTCGAGCTGGCAAGGAAGTTAGCTGTCATCCACTTATAAAAATTATGGATGTGTCAGGCAATGCGTGAAAAAAATGAATTTGGTCTGCATGTGAGGGGGCATGTTGAAGACAAAATATAAATAAATTCATAAACGTGTTTCCTCTTAACTACTTAAAACAATTTTGAGATGATCTCCGTCAAGAAGAAAAAGTGATAATTCTTTTGTTGGTTTGATGATGGAGTGGAGCAGATGTTCTGATTATTTATCTTAAGCACTTTTTTGTGCATTTGCAGTTTCCACGTCGGAACCGAATTGGTGATGGCTGATACGATAGGGGCTGAATCAATATTGAAAACACTGTGGCGTCACCAAGATGCCATATTGTGCTGCTCGTTGAAGGTATCATGGTTCTAAATTTATTTGCTTATTCTTTTATAAGGGTCGTGCTACATGTACATGACAATTCACATATTGATTTATCAACAGATGATGTGGTTAGATTTAATTAGATCAAAATCTCATCAATCACATAATTTCTCCACTTACATTTTGACACCTCACCATTATGTAAATAGTTGTGTACAAAATGCTGTTTCCCTTTTATAATGTTATTTATATGTAACCGTCAGATAATCTTAATCTATGTAAAGATATTCACTTTTTTTATTTTTTGTGTAGCAGGTGCTTCCAGTTTTCATATTTGCGAACCAGGCTGGGCTCGACATGCTGGAGACTACTCTAGTGGCTTTACAAGATATTACATTAGATAAGATATTTGACGACGCTGGGCGCAAGGCATTGTTTTCGGAATTTACTAAGATAATGGAACGGGTACTTTATGCTTCTCTGTTAAGATGGCACTTTCGCAGTTCAAATTTTTTGGGTTTCTGATGCTTTGTGAAATATGCTGGCACTACATTCTTCTTGTTTTCTCCTTTTCCCTTTCACAGAAGATGGTGTTAACTGACTCTATAATACGTTTCAGGGATTTGCTTACTTGCCCGGTGGTATATGCATGTCGACAATGAGGCGCCATATCTCGTATGAACAAGCAATCGTGTGGAAAGTCTTTGCAGCTGAAGAGAATACCCTCCACTGCCTTGCCTTCTCTTTTGTTAACTGGTCTTTTGTCTAAATGTTCATGCTTTCGAAAAATGATATACAAAAGGTACGTGACATAAAAGATTGATTGAGGAAGTTCAGAAGTTTTGTAAATTTTTTTCTTTAATTAAATTTGTTTTATGCTCATTTTTTAACTTCTCCATTGTATGTAAATCTGCTTCTGCTGCTGCTGCTGCTGCTTTAGTCTCCTCGAGTATTTTTATATGGTAGATAGATTATCTGTTCAAGGTTTCTACATGGGATTTTTTCCCTGTTCAAGATGAATTATTAATCTGATGTTATTTCTATGAATCATGCTATGGGAATTAATTCAAGATCCAAACTGTACAAGAAGTATAATAGAGAACTTTACAGAAAAATCTAAAACCACTGCATCTAATTTTGCATCTAATTTTGATCTTTCATAGGCTCAAACCATAAATCTCTAAGGAACATCACAGAGGCACCGAACTCAACGTTCACGAAATATATTCTTTCAGTGAAAATCACTGTAAGTGTACGGTTCGTTAACAAGTAATAAAGTGGATTTTTACAGTTCGAATATCGTCTCACAGAGATTGAGTAGTTCAATTTTACCTAGTGTAGTCTTAATCGAAACGAAATTACTCAATATGAATATCTAAATAAATAAATCCCAATTTTAGAGAGAAAACCTTAATGTTAGGAAAACTCTAATTATGTAAAATTTAAGATTGGAATGAATTCAAATATGCAAAATGATATTTCAATGAATTAAAATGTAAATTATATGTTAGAGTGCGAATTGGTCGTAATCTATGGAAATTAAAAACACTAGGATCATGATTTTCCATGCAATTATCACTTTAACCCTAATTTCACAATGTGACAGCACACTTAAATTATTGACAAATCAATGCTCATTATCTATCAAATACCCTCTCTCAAGATGTATCAAACCTATTTTTATATATTACCGGTCTATATTTCAATGACAAGTACATATATAAAAATGCATGCGATCTTGTGAACACTTAAAAATTCGCGTAGGGCATGGCGGTATATTTTTATCCCCTATCGGACCCTACAATGATTTATATTATGTCGAACCCATTCCAATTCTATAGAATGCAAGAATAAGCCACCTAAACTCACACAATTACGGACCCTTAATTGCGGGAACAAAAATTGCATATAAATCATTCAAAACAATCAAAACGTGTCTTTAATGCCAAATTGTAAAACTAGAAAATTAAAGATCAAATCACATGGTACATCGATCTCCTAGTACATGAAAATCTAGCCTAGCATTGATAAACTATAAGAATACATTAGATTTTGAAGAAAGAACATCAGCGGATTATGAATACTTGATAAATCTTGAAAATCCTTGTGCAATTCTTCGTTACTTGCGCTCAAAATCCTCTCCAATACGTGGTTTCTTGCCTCCCAATGCATTCTCCTTCGAAATATGACGGCTCTAGGTTTTTATATCGCGCCCCAATCGAGTTCCAAAAGAATTATAACGCAAAAAGAAAACTGCAGAATCGGCCCCCAGAATATACCTATGCGACCGCATAGGCTTATGGAAATTGGCGTTTTAATTCCCTGCCTTGGTATTCGCGACCACATAGGAGTTTCTACTATGCAACCGCATAGCAGAACAAACTTTCAAGTTATGTCATATTGGTCCTCAAACTTCATTCCTTCACTTCTTGACCTCCTCTCGTGTTTCTAGTTGTTCCAATATTCCATTATGATTTCCAATTGGTATTTCGCTCTATCAATTGCTTGATGTGTCCATCGGATCAACTTTCAGATAATTGCACTTTGGTCCTTGAACTTTCACTTTGATTCATTTTGGTCATTTTTGCTTCTTTTTCTCGTGAATTCCATCAAGTCCATCATTATACCATACAATCCAACAATTGAACGAATTTAAGCCACAATTTAATTATTTTGCTCGTAATTTAGTCATATTTGTGCATTAAATAAGTGCACAAAAACGCACTTATCAAATCCCCCAAACTTGAACTGTTGTTTGTCCTCAAATAAGATAGTGACTTAAATCTCAACAAACATGGCTTAATAACCTGTCTTATCTCAGGATTGAAATTCAGTAATTAACAAAGAAAACAGTTTCAATAATGCGATATAAGAATTTACCTTTACTTGTCGGGTGTAAAACTCATCGTGTGTGTGTGTGTGCTCATACGAACATAGCCAGCTCATGATTGGTTCAATCCCGATCCCAAAATGGTCAAATATGTCCTTACTTTGCTCGAGAGATGCACAACCCCCCAAACTTATCATTTTCACTCAATTATCTTGGGGTTGTGTTTTAAAGTTAAGGGTTTAGGTAATAGTAGTCCTTACTTTCTCTTTGTTTGGATAGATCCTACTATTACTGGTTCGCATGTCAACAAGTGAAGGCTCTTCTAGATTTGATTGTTTTAACACCTTAGATTAAACTAAGTTACTTGTCTCGCCTTGATGTTGTGATTCTTATCAACCGAATGTCCAAGGGCTTTATTCATACCATTATATATAAAATACTCGATCAGATGACTTTTTACTGACCTCTTTCCCTCTTGCTTTCTATATGACCCCTATAACGAGTTTTGGGCCGGTGTCTCCCAAACCAGTTGGCTTTAGGGCACCAGATCTGGAGATATCCTCAAAGACTTACTTGCTTGAGTAATAAAGGCTTGGAAATGTGTCAAATTTTCTTAACCTAGATTTACGCCCCTTTATTTTTCTAGACATTTGGTCTTTGAAATCAACCCCCAAATTAAAACTTTCTCCCAATCTTCATCTCATTTGTCTAGGCAATCCACACAATGTAATTCATACGCGGAGCTCCCACTTATCTCAATGTTCCCCTATAATTGTTAAATCTTCTCCAAACTATACATTAAGGCATTTTGGTTTATGGATCTACATTATGGCTAAATCTAGTCGAGGTTTTCTGGTTTCTTCTGCTTTATTCAAACCCAATCACTTACCTGACATATATGGTATGAGTGGCGTGCATATGGAATGTCAAGTATTACCCCAACAAGTATCAGTTAATTAAATTCTGCACTATATTCACAATTCTCAATACATATCTATTCCAATAATCACATCATTGCTGGCAAGGCTATCAAACCCATACAGGCATGCAATGAACCAAATATAGTATATAAATGCAATAATCACTCGTCAAGCACACAATGTTCAACCAATGTCACAGAATTGAAAATTTACATTACATGTCGATAATTGTGTTTTCAAAAGCAAAAGGGTTACGTTCAAAATATGCCACCACCCCTAAACTTATACACCACATTGCCCTCAATGTGAAAAATAAAGGTTTCAAAAGGCATATTTTGAAGACAATTGCAAATTAGAATTAGCAAATGAATGAAATAAACTCCCCTGATCAATATGGAGGTGGTGGTGGGAAAATGTTTCCTGCTGTACCATCATCTGGAGGTAGAGGTAGGCACGTTAAAACCTCTCTCATCATTGCTGACTGTTGCACCATCTCCGCTTGGATTCCGCCAACACGTGTCTTTATTCGACCCAGACGTTCCCAAGTTTCATTCACTCGCAACTGGATGCCATCGACTCGGCCCACATACATACTCAGTCGACCGTTCATAGTTTCCATCTCCCTCATGGCTGCCTCTAAATCCAAGTGAGCGACTCGTGCCATATCAGTGTCGATGCGGATGTCACGTCGAGCTGTCTGCATGTCAGTCGTCAGAGCCCCAATAGCTTGCTGGAGACCCTGTATGTCACGATTGTTTCCTATGGTGGTGGCGAATATCTGATGCCACAACTGTGTATCCACCTCAATCTGTGGTGGTGGGGCTTGTGGCATCTCTTGATCTGCAGGCGCCTGACCCTGCTCTTTTTGCTGCCGTGGCACTTGTTCTCTTGCTTTTCCCTGTGCTTTATCCTTGCTCTATCTTAAGCTTCCAGTGTACTGCGCTTTATAGGGGGGCTGGGTTTTGCAAGTGCCTCCCTTGTTGCGATATTGATGTCAGCAGCCATGCATATTCTGGAAAGGAGATGAGGCTGGGAAAAATCATTGAACTGTGCCTGTCTCCCAGAGCACCCACATGATGGATCTGATTATAGCAGAGAGTGGCGAGATCGACCTTATTTCCTCTCACCAAGTGATAGATGAACCTGGTTGTGGGATCGGTGAATGTGGTCCTATGCGATGTTGGTTCAATGTTATAGCACATAAGCAGCTACAAGATGGCTATAGACGGTGTCAGCTCAATTTGGTGCCATGCAGTGGTGGGGAGTGGCCATGCATTTTGTCGCCCCAATAGGATCTCTGCCACTTCATTCTAATTGAAATCGCCTGGAATGGGGGTTATGTTGTCCAACGTGAGCTGATAGTAGTCATGAATAACCACTGGCGAGAACATAATCCACTGTCCCCTGACCCATGTTTGGTGCAAGTGGTCGGACCCTGATGTGTTGATTTCTACATTGAAATTTGCGTAGAATTCTCCCACCAATGATTTATAGATCCGATGTGGTTGCTCTTCTAGCTTTGCCCACCCACAATTATCCACCAATGTGATCAACTCAAAATCTGGAAAATCCTCTAATTTAACGGCCCGCTTTGGTGTTACTATCCACCGGCTCACAATGTTTTCATAGCGGGCTGCTGTCTCGGAATTTAAAAATCTTTGTATCCCGCCTTCAAGAACTCGAGTACGGGCTGTTCCGGAAGATGAGTCAACTTTTTCTTTCTCTTTTGAGGTTCGTTTTGGATGCATCTTGCAAAGTTGCAAAATAGCATTCATTAAACTTCTTGTTGAAAAACGATAAATGGAATGAGATCAGTAAAGCACGTATTTCACAAATCCCCCAAACTTGCTTCAACATGCATGTTTAACACATTGGTGTGCAATATTCAAAACATGATATTCAAGATAGTAGAAATATTGCACCAATAAGAAAAACTAGCAAAATTTGGTCCAAACATGCACATTTATGAAAATTTGATCCATGATCGAGTGCGCACTTTCAACCTCGGGCATCGTCGAGAAATATCGAATTTTTCCCGGGCTATCTCTAGGCATAGGGAAGAATTCAATGAGGTCTAGCACATACTCAATTTTCAAATCAATTGGATTTCGTTTGGTGTGTCAAATTATGGGGTAAAGTAGGGGACGTAGGGTGTCGTGCAAGCCGTGACCTAG